ATTTGGAATGCCCCATAAGATGTAAACACTGTTGACATAGCTGTCACTATTTGATTTAGGAAGTGCTCACAAGAAAAATACCTATACAAGTTCACTAGACACAATTATTTTTTCCCAAGTATTTTTAATCCTTGAATGTTGAGCCCATGGACAAGACAATGGGATACAAAAAGGTCTGCACTTTGATTTCTCCATGTAACAGTGGCAAGTAGAACAGTTTGCACATGCATCTAACTTGGCTTCTCTATAGTAATGGCACCATTACATGAACACCTCAGACTTGATAGTAGCAGCATTCCATGAGATTCAACTATGGGCAATATTTTTTTTTTAACCTGTGTACTCATTTTGTCTGTAAGAAGTAGATAATTGGCTGTATTAGAGTTGATTTAGGTGAAATCCTGGCAACAGGACTTGCCTCAAGCATGAAAGTTTATGCTTCTCTCTCTCCCCTTCCACAAACTGATCTAGCCAGAACTCTATTGATGAACCAAGTCTCTTTCTGTGATTGGCTATCTGAAGCGCTGTTCAGGTAAAGAACCTGGGGCACTCTGTACTTCTCGAGGCACTGTGAGGAAATTCTTAGATTTGTTCATTATAGCAGAAAGGCAGGAGTGTGAAGAACTGGGTTTTTGTTACAGGGTAAAAGGATATATTCTTTAAATTTTTATCAAGTGTTTTCTTGTGGTAAAAATATTGATAATGAAGAATTTATCATTAATTGCATCTACATTGTTGTGCAATGTCGTGACCATCTATCTCCAGAACTGTTTCATCTTCCTAAGCTGCAACTATCCATCAAATACTCCCTCCCCCCTCCTGTTCCCCTGTGTCCCTGGCAATCACCATTCCACTTTCTCTGAGTTTTCTAATTGTCATTTCATATCCGTTTTGTGTAACTTCCCATAAAGTCTCCCACATTGTGGCTAGTGTCAGAATTCTTTTTAAGACTGAATGATATTCCATGGAGTTTGCTACTGTACTTTATCTGCTCATTTATTGGTGGACCCAGGATTTGGCTATTTTACATTGTTTCAGTGTACATGGGCATCCAACTACCTCCTGGAGTTCCTACTTTACATCGTTTGGCTATGTGGCTACCGTGAAATTGCATCCTAAGTCTGTGACTACACTGTTCCTAGGAAAATGTTGGCAGTGAAAACCTGCCTCTAGAATTTCTCTGCACTGTCTCAAATACGGCAGGGCCAATCTTTAATTTTCCCCACTTGATATGGAAACAGTTATACTATTTCACACTTCCCGTAAGTTATGTTAAATACTTTTTTAAATTTCTTGAAAGTCATCTATATTTGTCCTATTAATTATATGCAGTGTTTCCATCCTTCACAAGTCTTGGGTTGGTGGTGTTTTCTTATTAAGTTGTAGGAGAAGTTTAGAAGGCAAAAAATTACTTTGTCATATATGTTGCAAATATTGTCCCCTAGTTTATTAATTGTTTTGATTTTCTGATCGTTTGGTGTTCTATGTGTCTGTCCACTTTTACCAGTCTTGTCTTCTGTGGTTTCCTGGTTTTGCATGACATGTAGGATGTACTCTTTTCAACCTCAGGGTGCAGGCTGGGGGAGCTGGAAGCTGCTCAGAAGTGTGTCTGTGAGGCGGCTGGAGCGCTGGGCGCACATCCTCTTCCCTCTCCCCTCCACACTTCCCTGCCAGGTCTGGGGTCTCCTCTCAGCATTGCTGCTGAGATCTTGACCTTGTGGCCCAGCAGGGATGTGAGTATGCAAGGGAGGGGAGGGGGGAGGGAAGGGGCTGGAATGCAAACCAAAAGATGAGCTGGAAGTTCTAAATGAAAGATCAGAGAATTCTACATTTTGTGAATAGGGAAGTTCTATTTATACACTTTTATTTTTCCAAGTAACATACCATCATTCCAGAGCCTTCTTATCACCCCCTCCCCTCCCTCCTCAGTTCACGAGCGGTTCTGGCAGCGTCTTCCCTGGGGAAAGCACACGTTCCCAGGCCCGTCCTATAGATGCCAGCCTTGGGAAGCAAGAGCCAGGCACTTTATTCTTGAAGGTTTATTTGCCTGAGGCCCAACTCATTTGCTACCACACTGCCCAATAAGTTCCTATATATGCAACTGTTTCTTTGGCAGTTTTTTTCTTTAAATAAAATCCAAAGACTCCATGTTAAAATACAATGTCCATTACTGCGCCCTGGGAGAGGTGAGGTGGTGATGGGTTGAGGGAGACAGTCTCTTTCTTCCTTTGAAGGCAGAATCGTCCTGGATTCCTTATAAGGAGTCATTTCTCAGGTTTATTCACCCTGCACCAATCCGGGTTCATCTTGGTGCGGCACTGAGGGGTGGTGGCTCTTGGCCAGGCTTACTGCCAGGGCTCCCAGCGGCTCCAGCTGCCTCTGGTTGACTCCATCCAACGGAAAACCTGTCTACCTCCTTTCCCTTTTCTAGTTCCCATTTCTTCCCGGCACTGATGCACCAGAGGGAAATGGGTGGAGAGCTAGTGCAAGCCGCAGGAGTTAGGAGCAGGACTCCTCAAGGAGGCTCAGCGCACTCAGACACCTTCCTCACATGCTGAGCCATAACTGAGCCTTTCCAGGTTTAGCTTTTGTGATACCCGAAGCTTCTAAACTTACAAGGCAGAGGGAAGTATTTATTGTTTTTGAGAGAAAGACTTTAGGATTGGATAAATACAAAATTAGGTATAACCTGACTTTACATGTACAACAACAACAACCAAGAAAAACAACAGAACAAATTCTTGCCACACTTCCTTCTGAGCAGTTTGTCAGTGAAGTGGGGCAAGTCGGTGGGCTGGTGGACAGGCGAGGAGAGCCTGCCATCTGTCCTTGTCTCTGGATGCTGCCAGGAGGGCATAGGTCCAGAACCTTCTGCAATGCCAAGAGAAAACCAGATCTCCAACCCGGCTACCATTTTTGCTAAGTGGCCTAATGAGCTGGCTTTCTGCAACCAAGGCCACCACTAAAGATGTGGTAGATGTTCTGGGAGCTGAAGCTAAAGGCGCCCTGGCTCATCCACGTACTGTGTGTGGACAGCCTCATATGGGAAGCCCACACGAAGGAGCGAAGCTGGGAGGCCTTCCTGGGTTGTGGACTGTTATTTGTGTATTTATTTGAATTTCTTGTAAAAAAAAAACTGCAGGAATTCAAGTGTCCAGACTTTTCTAGAAATCTAAGGCAACTGCAAGAGAAGGTAGAGTTTATTATGTAATTTTCAGCCTTCTCTCAAGCTCTCAAGCTGGCTAGGAAGCAGGGGAAAGTATGTCTTGTCACCTTCCCATGGCACCTCCATGCCAATTCTAGAGACCTGTTTTCTCCACTGCAGTGGAAGGGATGGTGGCCTTCACCTCCAGGCAGCTTGCTGTGCCTGCGCACAGAGGCCTGGGGCCTCTGGAGGTGAGTCTCGCCTGTATGAAGCAGCCTTACCCTGTGTGGCTTGCCTTTTCCTGACCTCTGAGTACTGTCCCCTCCTTGGCACTTTCTTCAGGGCAGGACAGGACAGAGTAAGGGGGAAAGAATCCATAGACAAGCCAGCACCTGCTGCTCGGGACTCACATCTTCATAGACAGTGAGCGTTCGCACAAGCCAGAGGCCCGGGGCTGTGTCAGGATGAGATAACACCCTGCCAGCTTCCCAAGAATGGGAAGACAGCTGTTCTGAGTTTGACAACAGTCTTATTTTTGCCATTTGCTGTGAAAGAAGCGAGGAGGACCGATGGGAGGGCTGGGGAACTCTAGCATCAGCATATTACCGTATCTCCAGATTTTCCCAGGGAGATGGAATTACTAGTGCCTCCTCATTTGGGGAATCCTTGCTGTTCCCCAAATGGAACCTCTTTTTTTTTATGGCCACAGAGGCTGATCAGTTTCAATGAAGGAACCAGTGACTCTGGTTCAAAGGTAACAGGAGAAGAAACATCCTCAACTCCCACGTGAAGCACGGAACCTCCTTCTCCAAATACAGAACATTCTGATGAAGTGCATTCCCGTAGAAGTAGTGACTAAGGTAGCTGCGATCAGAGCGTCCACAAGGACACTTTTATACTGTAAGTTTCTCAGAAGAAAGGCTTAGGTAAAAAGTTCTTGGAATGTTCCAGATTATCAGGTAGATCCATTAGCACTGCCATCCAGCAAAATTAGTAATTCCCCCAAAGGTTAACCTCTATTCCCATAAACCTTATTCATACTTCAAACAGGAGCCAGGATTTCAAGACTCCCAATACATAAATCAGAATGGACATAAAAAGGTCTTAATCACATGGCAGACAAACAAAAGAATCTGTGGTCAATACAAGAATGAAACTGAGAAGAAAACCCCTAACTGATGTGGAATGAATAACAACCACAGGATGACAGATTCCTTCTTAAGAATTTCCAGATCCCAGTTCACCTTAATCGAACAAGCCTGTCCTCTGCGCTGCCTGTCAGCCCTGTCTATGGTTGCAGCAGGCAAAGCCTCAGGCTCTGGGCCTGGTATTTCACTCAAAGCTGCTGTTCTCTCTCCATTGGTGGCCAGCACCACTTGCCAATTGCTTACTTCAACCTGAGAGAAACTTGAGGGATGAATTCCTTAGGGAACCAAGATGGTGTGCCTTCACCTCAGATCCCTCCCTTCTGAACAATAATCTGTGGGCATAGGCTAAGTTATTCTCTAAACTGTCCAGTGCTTTAAGACCAATTTCTTGGTTCAGAGATTTTGAATCATTCAAATATGGTGCCTCTAAGATTGATGTGAGTTAAAAGGAAATTGAACCCACCTCCCACTTAGGCCTTTTGCTTCACAGTTCTCAGACTACAGCTGGGCTGAACAGCTGCAGAGAGCTGAGCTCACCGACCAGATCTGGCTGAGTGGGCTGAGATACCTCTCATTCTGTAAGATATGTGCAACCAGAATATTCCAACATACATGTGCCTGGTACTCACAGCTCAAAGGCCTCACTCCACACACGGTGGCCACCCACAGTGTCACATCCCCTGTCCCTGGCCTTGGCAAGCCCACAGTGTCACATCCCCTGTCCCTGGCCTTGGCAAGCCCTCATGCAGCGTGCTTCTTGCTACACTTGAGCTTGCAGATGCTGAAGGAGCTCTCTGGCTAGCTTTCCTGACCTCAGGGCTTCATGGCCAAGATGCTCCCATCTGTACAAGGTCTGGTGAAGAAAGCCAATAATCTCTTGAGTTATCTCTTCATTGTGCGCCATCTGCAGTGAAGGAAGCGGAGAAGGCAAATTTAAAACACTCCCCAGCACAGTCCTCTATCCGGTAGTAAACTAAAGTTAATGCTCTTGACCCTGCAAAGTAGCACAATACCACCAGACCTAAGGAAAAGCACCAAAGACTCTTGTTTTGTTTGCAATCAATACACAGAGAGCCCAGCCACTTCCTTGTGACCACCCTCCCCAGATGGGCCAGCCACTCCGCCTTAGCCTCACAGAGGCTACAAATAAGCACTGCTGGGAAATAGTCTTTCCCAGAATGATTCCCAAGCTGCGAGATTATTTGCCATGAGGTGCAAAAGCAAAGCGTGCTGTGGCTTGACTTTCTGCAACAAGCTCACACTACCATGAGGACTAGAAAATGACACCTGTTTCCACACGAATAGTCTTATAATGGCACTCCTCAGCCATCCGACTTGTTTTTTTAAATAGGCATCTAAGGTTTTAACACCTGCTTCCTACACAGAGGCAGGAAGCACCGGCATTGTTAGTTCTGCTAAATTTTAACAGCCTTGAGGCACTTATTTGTTGGTGCCCAAGTTTTCTTAAGAACTACAGTTGAGAAAAAAAGGGAGGGGTGAAGATCTCACAAGTAAGCTGGGTAAAGAATTCACTGTGATTTTTTCTTGAAGGCACAAGCACAATCAAGAAGCTGTAAGTTTTTGCAAGAACAAGACAGACATTCATTTTGTGTGTGTGTCACTTTATAAAGGACCTGCAAATGTTTAAGCCAGAGCAACCTCAGATCAACAGGGCCTTTCTGGTATGGTGACAGCTGTCCTGGCTTTCCTGCAACTTCCACTTCTGGCATTTAAAGCCCAGTGTACCACTCTTCCGTGGGTATCCCACCTCCTGGCCATCAATAACTCAGAGTTGTCTAATGCGCACTGCATGGGCTGCAGTGAGGGACTCGGGGCTGGGAGCTGACGTGGCCATCCCTTTTCAGGGAACAGGGTTTGAGACAAGTCCAGTGGGGCCGAGGCTCTGCAGGGTGAGGCAGCATCTTTGGTGGGGTCTTCCCTTCAGTATCACTGCTTGGTTTATACCTAGAAACCATGGGCATGTGGGGGTGCAGGTGACCTCCATCAGATGCATACTGTTCTTCAGTAGCAGTATGAGCTTCATTTGATGCTTTCTAGGAGTTAAATTGCAATCCATGTGGGTATAATCCATGTGCATGCTTAGAGGGACAGGCCACATTCCTGCTCACAGGGGTCCACTGTGCTCTAGAATGGTCCAGCAGACACTCTCCATCCAACTTCATGCATTCCTCAGGGCTTTGGGTCACGCACACAAACCCCCATATCTTTGATGGCCTGGGCTGAGGTGGGTGTGTACCCACATTATTGCACATTAAATGCAGTGACTATACAAATGATCTCTGCATTTCAGATTCCTCCTAAGTTGCTGCTGTCACCCAGCTGCACAGACAGGGCAACGTGAGAGACACAGAATGAGAATAGGACAGTTGTAGGAGACTCCAAACATGCATTCACCTTTCCCAGCACTAGCTGGGAAGTGCTGGCAAGGAGAGGGCAGAAGCAAGACCCTGAACCAGAGAAGCAGGAGCCCTTTGTCCTGAAGTCAGTGGTGGCTTTTATCAAAAGGCCAAGGGCAGAGAAGTGAAGCCTGGGCAAGGCTGTGGGAGCTGGAAAAGGGAAGCCTGGCCTGAGCCCAGGTTGCCGTTACGTGGCGGGATAAGGCGAGGCTGGAGGTCAGTATCCTGAAGGCTGAATGGAGCCACCAAGGCAGGCTAGGCAGCGCGAGGGTTCTGATGGGACAAGTGACCACTGCCCTCTGCAGGCCGCCCTCCTTCTGGCTTGAATCAGCATAATTCTTCAAAGCTGGCAGCAAAGGGCAGAGGCCCAGGCTCCAAGCTGCGAAGGGGCTGGCTCTTTGTGTACTCTCAGAGCTCACATTAAAGCTGCACCAGAACCACCAGTCCACCATACATCCAAGGCCAGGCAGGTGTCCAAGACATCTTCCAGGAGCTGGCAGCAATGAAATGATGAGTATGAAGTGGTGAGAAGCCCATAAAAGGACGCCTTTCACCTGTCCTGCTGGTGGTTGACAAGCTGGAGTACAAGGCCTGCTCTTGTAGCCACTGAGGTGGGACCGCCTTGTCAGGAAGGCTGGGATGTTAAAGAAGAGCTCAGGGCATCTAGAAGGACAGCACCCTGGTGGTCCTTGGGATGGACGAGCCTTGAGAGGCCCAGCAGGGTGCCCACCTACTGGGAGACCATGGTGTAAAGGTGAACATGGCATCTCTTTCGTGTGCTTCTGCTATGCATTCTCTCTGTATTCTTCGCAACTGAACTGACTTACAAGGTCTGAAGGAGAGGCTCTGGGTTCTTCCGTGCTCCTGCAGTCCTAGATTTAGAGCGCAGTGTTGTAATGTGTGGCTGGGAGTCCGCTGGAATCAATCAAACAGGCTGCTACCTAGGAAGCAAACTTCCATTTCTCTAGTCCCAGTCCCTTTTCAGTGGAGGAGCCAGAGTATGGGCCACCTTCAATGTGGATTGTTTCCTCTGACTTGATGGAAATAGGGTAGCAACAATGGGTGGCGAGTTTGGTGTCTCCGGGAGCTTTTCCTGGGGTACTTTCTCTCACCGAAGTCCCATACTAATTCCTCCACCTGTGAGTGCCACCCTCAGGTCAGGCAGCTTCTGCACTCCCAGGGTGGGAACAACTACGTTGGGAACAGAGCAGGGGAAGACATCCTGGGAAGTAGCATCTGAATTAGTGAGGCCAGGGCTCCATCCACAGGTGTGGTGAGTCATGACAAAAATGCCAGTACTTAAGTCAAGAATGTCTGCTGTTAACCTTTAAAATAACTTCAGAATAGTTTTAACGTTACTACAAAGACAGCACAGAGTTCTCATTTACACCATACAATGTCATCTATTTATCAACGTCTAAATGGGTATGGCACAAGTATCATAATTAATGAACCCATAGCAACAGGATATTATTGACAGAAGCCCAAACTTTCTCCTGATTTCTAGGATCCCACATTACATTTAGTTGTAATGCCTCCTTGGGCTTCTCTTGGCTGTGACCATGACGGATGTTCTTGCTTTGAGGTCCTTGGCAGGTTTGAAGAGGGTTGGTCAGAAATGTTGCATATCCTTAGTTTGTCTGATCTTTTCCCCATTACATATGAACTACATATTTCTGGGAGGAAAATCTCCAAGATAAAGCACCATTTTAATCATATTGTATCAAAGGTCTGTTCTGTTAATGTGACATTGACTGTGGCTGAGGTAGATGCTGTGAGGCGGCTATTAAAATACAGACCCAGCAGGGGTGAAGCTGGTTGTTTATACAGAATTCCGTGTTTGACTCTCAAGTATGGAGTTCTCCTACCCCAAATAGACTCAGAAGGAAGTATTTTTTCATATTTGCGTGCTTTGTGTTGCGATTTGTCTTCCCCCTCCCAGGTGTATAAGGGTGACATTGCCACAACAGAGCCGAGTAGTACAACCACCCCCTCACAGTGGTGTGTGTGTGTGTGTGTGCATACATGCGCACGCATGCACACGCATGTGTACATGGTGAGAACACTTAAAAACTACTCTGAACCGTCCATCAGTGACTATTAACTACCGTTCTCACTTTGGACATTATAGCTCCAGAACATGTTTGTCTGATAACTACAATAGTGTGTGTCTTCTGCTTATTCCGGGTAACTATCCTACTCTGTTTTCTGGATTTGACTTTTTAAAGACTCCACGTTTAGCTGATATCAGGCACAATTTGTCTTTTGAGTATGTCTATTTCACCTAGCAATCATGCCGTCCAGGTTGGTATTATTGCTATTGTGAGAGTCCCAATAGTCTTCTTGTGCTGGTCCTGAGGAGAAAGCATTAGTGTATGAGAGTCTAGTCCTCCAAGCACACACACAAGAGCTGAGGACTGGCCTGCTCCACACCCACCCTCCCACCCAGGTGGAGGACCACTTCTGGTGCTCATCTTCTCATTTCTCACTGGGATGTTCCTTGTATCCACATTCACATTCCAACACAGACTGCCCTGGACAGGGGTGGTGCTTGGAGGACTTTGGGAACAACCCTTCTTGACTTGGCTGCTCCTGCATAGTATTTTTGGCTTGTGAAAATGTATCAAGCTAAATACTATATGCAATAAAAACTAAAAATGAAACCAAAAATAAAACAGAATGTCTAGAATTGGCAATGCTGGTGCGTACTTTTGACATGAGCATTTAAAAAATGATGGCAAAATATACACAATAAATTTGCCATTGCAACCATTTTTATAATTCAGCAATATGAAGTACAGTCACAATGGGTTGTATAACCATCACCACCATCCATCTTCAGAACTGTTCATAATCTCCAACAAAGTATTCACTAAATATTTAGTAATTTCAATATTTCATTTCCATGAATTTGATTATTCTAGATAGGGTCAGCATAGTGTAAAGTTCATCTACATCAACATGCCAGAGCCTCCTTCCTTTTTAACCTTCTCCATGTCTAGAAGAGCATATTTTGTTTTTCCATCCATGTGTTGATAGGTATTTGGTTGTTTCCAACTTCTGACTACCGTGAATAATGATGCTCCAAAGACTTGTGTACAAATACCTGTCCAAGCTCTACTTGGGGTACATAAACAGAAGTGGAGTGGGTATAAGTCTTTTGGTAACAACTCTGTGTTTTAATGTTTTGAGGAACTGCCAAGCTTTTTACCACAATAGCTGTATCATTTTAACATTCCTAACAAAATGTTTGAGTATTTTGATTTCTTTAATGTTCAATGACATTTACTTTTTTTTTTTTTCTGTTAATAGCTGTCTTAGTGGATGCAACTCTTTGAAGTACTGGGATTGAACCCAGGGCCTCACATTTGCTAGGCAAGTACTATACTAGAACTTGGGCCACACACCCTTTTTCTTTTGTTCTATTTTGTTTCTAACAGTTTCACTAACTTTTTCAGACTGGTCTACTTCTTGGGATCTTTCTGCTGTTGTGATACAGGCTTGTACCACCATGCCCAATTCTCATTGTGCTTTTGATTTTGTAATAACCAATGCTATTGAACATATTTTTTCAAACACTTCCTGTCCATTAGTACATCTTCTTTAGAGAAATGTCTATTAAAACCCTTTGTCCATTTTTTTTTTTTTTTGGACATGAGCCTGAACTCTGGGCCTGGGCGCTGAACTTTAGCTCTTCAGCTCAAGGCTAGAGCTCTACCACTTCAGCACCACTTCTGGCCTTTTCTGCTTATGTGGTGCTGAGGAATCAAACCCAGGGCCTCATGCATGCAAGGCAAGCACTCTACCACTGAGCCACTTTCCCAGCCCTACTTTGTTAATTTTTGAACTGGGTTATCTTTCTGTTGTTACGTTGGAACAATTTTCTTTATAATCTGGACACTAAATCCTTGCCAGACATACTATTTCCAAATATTTTCTCCCATACTGAGAATTGTCTATATTTTATCTTTTGCTGCATAAAAGTTAGATTTCGGGCTGGGAAAGGCTCAGAGTTCAAGCCTCAGGACTGACAAAAAAAAAAGTTAGATTTCATAAAGTCTAACCTATCTATTTTTCCTTCTGTTGCCTATGTCTTTGGTGGCCAAGAAATTACTATAAAATCTAATGTCATGAATGACGCTAACTTTTAACTTATACCACTCTAACCATAAAATCATCTGGACTTCTTTATAAAAATTCATTTTTTTCTTAAACCAGATTCTTTGGTTTCAGGGACTGGCATCATGGCTGGTATGAGCATGTGCTCACTGGAGAAGCAAGTGCTCAGTGACTGTTAATGGAAAGAATGGCATGTGGGCTTTCCCCATGGGCCCTGTGGAAGGACATGGGACCTGTAAGGTGTAGTTTTCTTTCTCCTTGATGACACGAGGTGTTGCACAGGCAGGCTCTGGGATCTACCTTAGCTGTCAACCTCACTGACCTTCATCCACGTTGGGGCAATATCTTGAGCTTATGCTCTCCAATGCCAGGATAGCCTCATTGCAGATAACTTACCCCCTACATGGGTCATAAGTGTGAACTAGGATTTCAGAAAAGAGAACTTACAAGGGTGATAGCTTCCTGGGCAATTGCATGGCATTCTGGAGCCCAGAGCAGGAAGTTCAGGATGAGGCATCTGACCAGCTGTCCACATACCAGTGATCTGGAGTCTCCGTTGCTGCTCTGGACAGAGGCCACCTGGAGATCCATGGCTGAGAGTGGGGCACTTGAGAGCAGTGTCAGGAGGTAGTCCAGCACAGCCTTTAGCTCTATCTGGGTAAAGCAAGTTCAAAGGGTAAGAGATTAGGGAGACTCAGGACACATGACTCTCAGATTTACTTAGTGCTTTGAAGCCAGCCCCAGAAAGAGGAACAGCCTGGCACCAGAGAGAGGGCGGACACAGGCGGCTGAGTTTACACACTGCTCTACACAAACCCAAATGGGCGTAATGGAAATTTCTTGACTTTCTTTCGTCTTGCTCACCAAGCAGCCAGGGCCCCATGCCAGGAATTGACCTTTTTTGTATGAAAGGAAACAGTGAAAGAAAGGTTCTCAGCAGAATGTAGTCAGATTTTTCATATTGTGGGAAAAAGAACAGAAAGCTCCTTGAAGACCTCTTCACTATCAGCCACAAGCAGTTAGAGCCAACGGCCACCCTGGGGCGGTGCAGGAAGAATGCATGACTGTTTCTGCTATTACTGTCTTTGAGAAGGACATATGCGTATGGGCATGCCCAAGAGCATGTGTGTGCATACATGTGCAAGTGTGTGCGTGCATGTGCACCTCTGTTTTGTTTCAGTGGTACAGGCTGTATATACATGTTTAAAACTCAGAAGTCACAAGTCTGTGGACTGCACATAATAATGATAATTGTCCTAAGCCTGTGGGCTGCTTTTGCATAAAAAATATTTATCATGCTAAGACTTTTGCTTGTTAAAAGCATGGCACATCAAGTCGTAACTTGGAAAACAAAGCAAATATTGAAAGCTATAGACCTAAAAGGCCACATGGAACTCCTAACAGCTATGTTCTATCATTTCTGAAAGAATACTTAGGCCTGTTCTGAGAATTCCCATGACTGATTTTATAGAACTGTGAGAGCTGCTTATTTCCCTCGAAGTTAGGCCTTGCTCAATGCTGTCATAGACTACAGCACACTAGCAGTGTTGTGTGAGCTCTGCTGACCAAAACAGAGACCGTGAGAAACAGCACCACAGGACTCTTCCACAGAGCTGGCAGCATTCCCAGGACAGCCATCTCTCCTTCTCTCAGCTGTGCACCGCCTGCACTCAGCTGATGGCAACTACAGTAGCCCTCAACACTTTCTGCCATCTAAACAGGGCTGCGAAACCGAGGACTCAGGAGGCAGAGCCTTTATATCTATTTTCTTTTGAGCAGCTTACGATTTTTTTTTCTTTACCACTGTCTAGTGTCCCTAAAGACTTGATCTTCCTACTTATTCCAGACTGACTTTTCCTTCAGGTTCTTTCTGTATCCAGAAGCTTCTATGTGACACATCAATACTTGAAATGCTTTCTAGGGTTTTCAAAGTATTATTTTTGTTCTGTCTTATAAATTTATGAGGATGAGTGCCAGTCCCTTGTAATCCTAGCTTCTCAGGAGGCTGAGATCTATAGGATCATAGTTTTAAACCAATCCAGGCAGAAACAGGCTAACTAGACTGTATCTCCAAAATAACTAGCAAAAAGCAGGGCAAGAGGTATATGGCTCAAGCAGTAGAGTGCCAGCGTAGCAAGTATGAGGTTCTGAGTTTAAACCCCAGTACCAGCTAAAAACAAATAACAACAAAAATGAAAACAATGAAAGAGGGAGGGGGAGGGGAGGAGAGGGAGATGGGAAGGGATGGGAAGGGGAAACAAAGGAGGAGGCTACAATGCTTGATAAGAAATGTACTCATTACCTTGCTCATGTAATTGTAACCCCTCTGGATGGTATTTTCACAATTAAAAAAATACTCAGCTCAAATGGACAGTGGTAGTAGGAAGAAAAGGATGAAATTTAGGACTTTGTTAAATACACAACCTATCCACGTCTTTTT